AGGAATGCAGACATCACTGATTATCAGAAAGCTATTTCTGACAAAGTAGTAAATCGAGAGGATTCACAAAAATATCCCGTCTGACATGAGAGCGCACAAATATATATAACCCTCCTCAAGAATCGGTGTTTGCTCAGATGAGTCTTCTGAGACATCCAGATTTCAGAGTTTTTACTGTATTCTGTGAACTGTAACCAATAATCCCTAGAGGTCTGCAACCGGTTGTCTTATTTAATAATGTGTTGCCCTTGTAATGATGTTTAATCTGATGTATACACTCTCTGAAAGATACAAATAATTAAAGTTCAGTTTTTTAAGCCATGAAAAGGAGCATTGGGACTTTTTCTTTTTCCTAATAAAGCTCAAAGTTTATCAGATTTCTTGTTCAAACAGGGGGTTGTAGAGACTCAGTCTTATTTGAATTTGTAGGGCTAAAAACTAAATGCACAGGGCTAAGAAGCAGAAGCAGAAAACCAAATGCTGAATGATTAAATTATTGAATGAGTAGTTTGGACAGTATGATGGCAGCTGGGCGTCCTAGATCTTGTAAGTTCAATGATAAATTATTTTATTCGTCAATTTACCCAGCAAATACTTCAACCTCACTCCTGGTACCAAGTACTATTATCAATCAGGGACCAGTCAGGATAGCAGAAACGAAAATTTATAATTTGCCAGGACCTGGGAGCTCTGAGTTGTATCTCCATGCAGCTGCTGTTCAGAACCCTAAGGACAGGGTGCCCTTGGGGGGGTGCCCAGACTACCCAGGGAGGCAAGGGGAGGGGTGCCGTGACGGCTGCTCAGACTTCTGAAGAGAGAGCTGCAGGCGGCCTGGGCTGTGTGTGCTGCAAGTAGCTGGGGGCAGAGGCCAAATGTTTGCCGCTGCTTGAGAAATACAGACAATACTTGGAAAAATGGAAGGAAGTCTCTTTTCCCCTTTGTCCATCTTCTGAGGTTCCTTTCGTGCTTCCTGTTGTCAGGAGGAAGACAGCTGGCAAGATAAACAGAACTTCCTAGATGGGATTGTGAAGTTTAATTGGTTATGTCTTTGATCTTGAATTCAGGACTGAGCACCTTGCCTGTGTAGATGGGATTCTGGTATCCTCTGGCATAAAGAGACAGACATTTCAAATACTCTAGTCACCACTCACGCCTGGTGGAGATGAAGTGCCTATTGTATCCGATGCCACGTGAAAACAAGTGGATGAGGAAGACGATAAGGGTGGGGAGTTGGGCTGTTTCTGACTGCACTGCAGAACTCCAGAGAGGAAAGGGTTAGCTTGGGGCGTTCGATTCTCAGCTCAGGTCGTGGTCAAAGAACCAAAGAGGTTTTACGGCGGCTGTATCAACTATTACTGTGCAACAGCTTATACTAGCATTTAGTGGCTTAAGAGAACAACGCACCCTTGTCTCACAGTTTCTGAGAGTCTGGAATTCGGAAGTGGCTTACCCTGGCTAGTTCTGGCTCAAGGTCTCTCATATCGGCTGGGACAGATGTCAGTGGAAAGCTGAAGGACCCGCTTCAAAGGTACTACTTCACATGGCTGTAAAGTTGGTGCTTGTATGATGTCTATTTTTTCAGTTCTAGCCATTTTTGCTTCATGTATTTCAAAAACAATGTTTTAAAAGACTTTATTTTTGTATTTTTAAAAAGATTTTATTTATTTTTAGAGAGAGAGGTAGGGAGGGGGGAAGGGGGAGAGAAATATCAATGTGCCAGAGAAACATCAATTGGTTGCCTCTTACATGCCCCCCAGCCAGGGTCCTGGCCTGTAACCCAGGCGTGTACTGTCCAGGAACTGAATCACTGACCTCTTGGTTTCCAAGACAATGCCCAACCAACTGAGCCACACTGGTCAGGGCTCACAACAATGTTTTTAGGTGCATACACATTATGTCTGCTTGGTTAGTTGACTCTCTTATCATTATGTTCCCTCTTTATTCCTAATAATTTTCCTAGCTCTGAAATCTACTTTGTTTGATATCAATCTAATCTAATCTAAATATAACCAGTCAAGCTTTAAACCTTTTTTATTTTATTTTATTTTAAAAAATATTTTATTTAATTTTTAGAGAGAGGGGAGGAAAGACACTCAATCCACTGAGCTACACCAGACAGGGCTATTTTTTTTTTTAAAATTTATTGAGTTGAGAGTGCAAGAAATCAATTTGCTGTTCCACTTTGTTTATGCATTCACTGGTTGCATCTTGTATGTGCCTGACTGGGGCTCGAACCCACAACCTTGATATATTGGGATGACACTCTAACTGAGCTACCCAGCCAGGCCAGTCCAGATTTTCTTTCTTTTTTTTTTTTTAAAAGTTTGTGTGGTATATATTTTCCCTTTACTTTTAACTTATCTACTCATATATCATTATTTTCAAGTTGGTTTCTTGTAAACAGTGCATATATACATTTAAACTTATTTTAAAAAATATTTTATTTATTTATTTTTAGAGAGAGAGGGAGGGAAGGAGAAAGAGAGGGAAAGAAACATCAATGTGCGGTTGCCTCTCACGTGCCCCCTACTGGCGACCTGGCCCACAACCCAGGCATGTGCCCTGACTGGGAATAGAACTGACAACCCTTTGGTTCACAGGCTGGTGCTCAGTTCACTGAGCCACACCAGCCAGAGGAGAATATACCCTGGCTGGCGTATATGTATAAAAAATATATATATATATATTAATCCAATATGATCACTTTTTCTTTTTGGTAGAAATTCTCTGTTGTTTGAAAATTTTTCTCTTGGCTTGTTATCTCCTTTGATTAGATTTTTAAAAATTACTATTTAAAACATGTACATAGAGTAAAATGGACTTTTCTGCTTATAGTTCTATACATTTTAGCATGTTAATAGACTCACCTAATCATCACCACGATTAGGATACAGTTCTATCACCCTCAGAAAACTCCCTCATGCTGCCCCATTGTCAATTCCTTCCTCCGCCCCGAGTTCCTGGCCACGAGTGGCCCGCTCTCCACCCCTTGGGTCCTGCCTTTTCTAGAACGTCATATAAAGAGAATCATAATGCATGTAACATTTTGACACTGACTTCTTTCAGTCAGCTTAGTGCTTTTGAGATTTTTCCACATTATTGCACGTATAAATGATTCACTCCTTTCTCTTATTTAGTAGTTTCCATGGTGTGGATTTCTGTTTATTCACTTGTTGAAGGACATTCGAGTTGTTTCCAGTGTTGGCAATTATGAACAGAGCTTTTAGCAGCATCCATGTGCTTACAGGGTTTAACATTTTTTGGGTTGTGTGAGTGTGTGTAAACATGGGTTTTAATTTCTCCAGGGAAAATACCCAGGACTGGGACTGCAGGGCTACGTGGTGAATTACATGAAAAGTGCATTTAACGTCATAGGAATTACTGAGTGATTGTGGCACTTGGCATCCCCAGGACCAACATATGAAGGCTCCAGGGGCTCCAGTACTTGCTGACGCTTGGTGTTGCCAGTTTCAAATGTTCGTTGTTCTAACAGGGGTGGTGAGGCGAATGTCACAATGGTTGCAAATTGCACGTCCCTAATACCTAACCACGCACGTGAGGCAGCTTTTCATGTGCTTATTTGGCAGCTGTATACCTTTCTAGGTGGAGTGGTTGATAAAATCTTTTGCCTATTTTTAAAAATTTAGGTCGCTTTGCTTTGTTGAGTTTTGATAGTTATTTATGTTCTGCATAAAGCCCTTTGTTGTGTATGTGACTTGTGAGTTCTTTCTTCTAGTCTGTATCTGATTTCGGCAGCAGGGGAATTCTTACTTCAAAATGAGTTATGAAGTGCTCCCTTCTCTTCTATTTCCTGAAAGAGATCGTATGGAGTTGGTGTTTTTCCTTCTTTGAATTTGTCAAATTCTTTTTCTGAGGATTTTAAACTACAAATGCACTCATTCAGCAAATAAATTATTAGTCACATTTTCTATTTTTTTCCTTGGGGAATTTTGGTTGTTTGTGTCTTTTAAACAACCAGTCTATTTCATCAAAATGTAAAACTTTTGTGCATCAAAGGGCACCATCAAAGAAGAGAGAAGATAATCCAGAAAGTGGGAAAAAATGTTTGCAAATCATACATATAATAAAGGATTTGCATCCAGAATATTGAAAGAACTATCATAACTCAATAATAAGATAAATAACCCAATTAAAAGTGGGCAAAGGGCTTAAATAGACATTTCTCTAGAGAAGATATACAAATGGCCAATAAACACACAAAAAGGTGTTAAACATCATTAGTAACTAGGGAATGAAAATAAAAACCATAAGTGTTAGTGAAACTTAAAGAAACCGAAACTCTCATGTATTGTTGGTAGGAATGTAAAATGGTATAGCCAGCTGCTGTGGAAAATTTTGAAAGTTCCTCAGTGTTAAGCATAATTACTACCTTCAGGTATATTACCCAGTGAAGTGAAAACATACATTCGTGCAAAACCTTGTAATCGTTCGCAGCACCACTATTCACAGGAGCCAAAAAGTGGAAGCAGATCACCTGTCTATGAATGAGGGTGGCATATCCCACAGGGCAATGTTCTTCCACATAAAAAAAATGAAGTACTGATAAATCCTATGACATGGATGAGCCTTAAAATGTTCAGTAAAAGACACTGTATGGACAAAACTTACCTAAATCTAAAGAGACAGAAAGACCAGTGGTTGCTGAGGGCTGGGGGAGGGGTGAGCTGGGGAGTGGCAGCTAATGGGCGCGGGGCTCCTTTTTAGGGCGATGACAATGTTTTGAAATTAGGTTGTGGTGGTTTGTGCTCCTCTGAACCCATTAGAAACTACTGAATCTTACATTTTAAGAAGGTGGCTTGTATGTGATTTGTATGTTACAAAATCCACGATGACATTGTAATCAGTCGTAGCAATGAGGACTCTAGCAGCTGTGTGTTTTCCTCTTTGCTTGTTACGTGTCCATCAACTAATTTTGCCTTCCCTCTAGTATTTTATGTGAAAGTATTGACAATGCTGATGCACCTTACTATTTCTTCCAGTTATGGAACACTCAAGTGGCATTTTGGCTGGAACCAACAGTGACGGATGTGACGACTATGGAACTTTGCTGTCCTCCCTTCCAGGGAACAACAGGTCTGTGTGAGAAGGGCACTTGCCCGGCGCTGGGGGAAGCAGAAAGGTTTCGAGTGGTATGGAAATTCGGATTCGGCACAAAGGTGTGTATGAGTGATGGGGGAGTGTGCTGGTTACTTACTGTGTCTCAGCCCCAAACCCGCTCTGCTTTCCGTTCTGTGAGGCTATAGCTGGACTGCTGAAAACTACATTTCCAATGGGCTTCTTGTTAAGGCTGACCTGCTAGTAGGGACTGGCTGAAGGGGACTGGGAAGTGAAAGAAGGGAAGGGACTTTCTTCTACTCTCAAAACCAGTTATCAGAAGTGGACATTTAGCTCCGGCATGGGCCATTTTTGACATTTAGCTCCAGCACGGGCCATTTTTGTACCTACCTTCTTAGAAGTTCCAGCACCAACTGCTACGAATCCAACCCTTCCCTTCAGTGAACATCAAAAATCCAAGTGCTGGTCTCATGGGGCTCTTCCCTGTAGGTTCTGGCCAGTTTCCCAGATGACCCCCAGTGATCCATTCCAGTCCTGGTATTAGTGGCCATGTCTGCTCTTCCACTGAACCAGCTGGCCAGTGTGACCAGTGGAATATGGTGAAAGTGATGCTGTGGACCCGAGCCTGGGTCATAAAGGGCAGTGGCCATGTGCATGAGCCACATCAAAGGGCCTTTGCCACTCCCTCAAAGGACCGAAGCCCCAGGCAATATCTGACCACAACCTCGGGAGAGACCCCAGACCAGAGCCACCCAACCAACCTCAAGAGAAACCTCAAACAAGAACCACCCACCAATCTCAGGACACACTCCAAACCAGAACCATGCACCCAACCTCAAGAGAGATCCCAGGCCAAAACCACCCGCTCACCCACCCACGCTGCTCCCAAATTCTGGACAGACATCAAGAGCCATGTGCGATCACTGTTATTTTAAGCCACCAGGGTTAAAGGGTGAGTAGTTGTATTACATCGGATAACTACTGTCACCTCTTCTTTCCCTAAATGCAGCCAAAGGTGGCTGCAGTTCATCATCTCCAGGTTACCTCAGCACCACTGTTTCGACAGCTGTGCAAATTCCCTGGATTAAATGCCCTGTATTTGAAATAACTAGTGTGGTTTCTGTTTTCCTGATTGAACCCTTTAAGTTTTAGAAAGAAGAAAACATGAAATGAAAGCAATATAGTCTCTGCTATTTCCCTCTACTCTTCCCCCTCCCAAACCCGGCTCTGGGGAAGTCTTCACTTGTCCCGACGGGCCACCACCTCTGCTCTGCCCTCTGCATCCTCTGCCCCCTGCATTTGTCTCCCACCAGGCCTCCAGTCACAAAGCTCTCCTCCTGTCCCACCTCCTCTGGGCCCCAGACACACAGTGCTACGCAGGAGCTGGGTGGGGGGAGCGCAGAATCGAGTTTATTGTTCTGAGTCTGGGATTTGTTCCTTAGACATCAAGATTCCTGGATGGAGGTGACTGTCGCACCTCCCTGAGTCACAGTCCTGTGGGCTTGTTTGGATTGTTTTCCAGGTTCAAGTGCACTGAGAAGGCTTCACAGTTTTAATACTTCCTAGATGCTCAACTGAGGCAAAGTGACAAAATGGCCCCCCCACCCCACCCGCCAAAAAAATAAAACCCCAAGCTCCCAGCAGCTGCTGCTGCAGCCGTATGAAAAAATAATACAAACTCTTCTTAAAAAATAGATTACACAGAAAGAACCCAGAGGACAGAGGGACATGGGGGGAGGCAGGGGCTGCTCCAGCCACCGGTGGGGAGCCTTGGGGAGAGGCCCAGGAGGGGCGCTGAGATGGACCGCAGGGGCTGCGATGCTGGTGGATGCCTGCCTCGTCTGCTCTGCCCAACCTCCCCCTGCGGCTCCTCCCAGCAGCTCGGGCTCAGGGAACTGCCCTTTATCCTGAGGCCTGGTACCTGCTTCTCACTAAAGTGGCTTCAATAAAGAAACAAAAAGACCCAAAGCTGGAAGGGCTGCTGCCCAGACCGCAGGGATGTCCTCCTGTAGGAGCAGACCTCCCTCTGCTTTGGGGGTTTGGATAGTTATCAATACCTGCTACTACCTAGACACCCCTGGGGGTGACAGGCCCCAGACTCCCTTATGGCTCCTGGGCACACGGCCTCTCCCTTGACACACACCCCACTGTGCACCCAGCTGTGCCAGGGCCCGGTCTGCAGCTGTCCTCCATCAGGCCTCGGAAGAGCTGCGGACAGGTGGAGGGTGTGCAGGACGGCCGGGGCGGTGGGGCGCGGGGTGGGGCACAACTCACATGGGCCCTCCAGCTCATGCAAGGAGAAGCAAGAGGGGGCAGCCCCAACCAAGACAGAGGTAAGGTGGGGCGAGGTGATGGTGTATGTGCAGCCAGGCCGGCTCTGGGGCCAGGGGCAGATGGGGTAGGGGCCACAGCCCACAGGGGAGGAGGAGGCAAGTCAGGGCCTGGTGCTGGGGAGGGGTCTGGGTGCCCGCTGCCCGCTGAGGGCTTCACACCCAGCTACCTCCTACACAGGAATCTGGTGCAGGGTGTATTCTCTGCAGTGGGGACGGGGCTTCTGGGTGGGCTGGGCTCAGTCAGGGACCTCGGGGTGGGCAGGCAGTCCACTTTCACCACGCCGGTAGGTCTCCCAGAAGCCCCTGTCCAGCTGCTCCAGCTGTGAGCCCAGTGGGAGGTGGCCAGCCAAGTGCATTCGGAGGGTCTCCAGCCACTGCTCCAGCTTCACGAAGGAGGGCCTGGGGTGACGGGTACGGGGAGAGGGACGGTGGATTCTGGCTTTGCAGGGGACTGGCCCACCCCCAAGGTTGCCCAGGTTAAGCCCCACCCTACTCACCTCTTCTCTGGATCCAGATCACAGCAGCGCACGGTAATGGGGAAGAAGCTTGGGGGACAGTTTGGGGGGCAGTAGCGGTCCAGGAAGCCTCGCACATTGAGGCCAAAGTCCATGGTGCGGGGAAGATAGTCAGGATCAGCGTTCACCCGCCCGATGATCTGTCCAGCACAGGGCAGGCAGTTACCCAGGTGCCCTTGGGGCTGAGTGCCACCCAGGTGGGTTTGCAAGCAGGTCACACTGGGCCTGGATGCAAATTGCTGTGGGCAGCCCAGTTCCCAGAAGCCTCTCTGGCTCGAGAGGCCTGCAGACTTCCAGCCTGCAGCCTGGGAGGGCAGGGAGTGGGCAGGAGCCACTGGGCCTAATGCCAGCTGCTGCCCAGCCCAGGACCTACCTCACACAGGACGATTCCAAAGGAAAACACATCCACCTTCTCATCATAGCTTCGGCCTAGACAGAGAGACGGACTGTTACTGGGTGAGGCAGGGCCAGGAAGGCCAGCTGGCAGGGGGGCTGGGCCAGAGACTGACCAGCCTCTTGGATGCCCAGGCCAGCAGGTCAGATGCTCTGCTCCTAACCCCACCAGGTCTGAGCAAACTGTCGTGGGGTGAGAACGAGAGCCCTGGGCAAGGGGTCCCAGGCCCAGCTCAGTCACTGACAAGCCGTATAACTCCAGACAAGTCATGAACTTCACGGTGGCCCTGAAAGTTGACCACATCAGACCCCTGGAACCTGTGAAGGTTACTTCATTGGAAATACGATCTTTGCAGATATGATGAAGGATCTTGAGATGGCATAATCTTGGGTTACCCAGGCAAGCCCTAAATGCCATCACAAGTGTCCTTATAAGAGAGATAGAAGAGCCCTGACTGGTGTGGCTCAGTGGGTTGGGTGTCATCTCACAAAGTAAAAGTTTGCCAGTCCAATTCCTGGTCAGGGCACACGCTTGGGTTTCAGGTTCAGTCCCCAGGCAGGGCACATACGAGAGGCTGCTGATGGATGTTTCTCTCCCTCCCTCCCCCTCTCTGTAAGAATAAATAAATAAAATCTTTTCTAAAAGACGGAGAGAGAGAGACAGAAGAGAAGGTACAGCAGAGGAGCCCGTGGCCACGGGAAGATGGAAGCCGAGATTAGAATGATGTGGCCTGAGGACACCAGGACAGCCAGCAGGAGCTGAAAGCAACATGGAACGAACCCTCCCCTACAGTCTGCAGTGGATACAGCTCTGCTTCTGTCTCCCAGAAGCTTATATAAAAGAATAAATTTCTTTTGTTTTAAGCCACCCACTTTGTGGTGATTTGTTACAGCAGCCTCAGGAACTGATACAGACTCTTTAAGCCTCAGTTTCCTCATCTGTAAAATGGGAAGAATACCATCTAATTCATGATGTTAAAAACATCTAATTCACGATGTTAAAAACAATCAGTACAGCCAATTGTTTATTGAATGCTGCCTAGTTTATAGCTTTAATCCTCATACCACCCCTTAAAGATAGGGACCGTTAGCCTCATTTTACAGATGAGTTATTTGGGGGGCTATGTTGGCTCTGGTCAGAGCTGGCACTGAGATGACCCTGTGTTGGCATGCCACCTGCCCGTGGAGGGGCTTTAAACACGTGGTCTGGGCATACACAGGACCGCTGTGTGGCGGGCCTGATTAAAAAAAGAAAGGGAGTGGAATGGGGGTGAGGGAGAGAGAGAAAGAGAAAATGAATAATGGCCCCCCACGATGTCCACATCCTGAGCCCTGGGACTGTGAATACGCTGCCTTACATGGGACTGTGCAGGTGTGACTAAGTTAAGGATCTTGAGATGAAGAGATTACAGTGGATTATCGGGGTGAGCCCTGTGTAATCACAAAGGTCCTTATGAAAGAGGGAGGAGGCTCAGAGTCAAGGAGAGAGATGTGACACTGGACACAGATGTCAGAGAGAAGATGCCAGGTGGCTAGCCTTGACAGAAGAAAGCGCCACCACCTGAGGAATGAGGTGGCATCTAGAAGACGGAAGAAGAAAACAGGTTGTCCCCTGGAGCCTTCCGAAGGAGCCAGCCTTGCTGACACCTAATTTCAGCCCAGTGAGGCTGCTGTTGGACTCCTGACCTCCAGAACCACACGATCATTGGGGTTTTTTAGGTCAAGTGTGTGGTAATTTGTTACACAAGCAATAGGAGGCTCATATAGGACTCAAAGTAGAGGTGGAGGGGCCAGGGAGGCCAGGGGTTGGGGGGCTGCAGCTCTGCCTGGGACCCCTGGGTCCCTAAGACAAGACAGGTGGGGCCGCCCACTCACCGTTGATCATCTCGGGTGCCATCCAGTACGGGTTGCCTACCACCGTGTATCGCTTTTTTCGGTCTGGCTTCTTGAGGCTTCGCAGGTCCTGGGGCTGAGTCTTCTCATCCACCATGAGCCGTGCCAACCCAAAGTCGGCCACCACCACAGTCTTGTTCTGGGGTGACGAGGAAAAGGGGTCACACTGAGCATGCTCCTGCCACATCCAGCTACGTGCTCCTAGCCCGGACCCACCCCAACCCACAGCCAGCCAGAGAACACACCTCTGACACCTGGGGGCTTGCCGAGGGGGGTGGCAACCCCACCGCTTAGAGGGGCTCAGGTGCAGGGTGAGGACCCCCTTCCTTCCCTGAATCCCTCCGCTCTTTGCGAATGGAGTTGTCCAAAGCTTCCGAAAACACCAGTGTGGCCCCACTCCCCTGCTTATTATTTATCTCTTAATTCTCCAACAACCTGGTACGTGCTATCTTACAGGTGAGGTGACTCAGGCCAAGAGAGGTGAAGAAAGTTGCCCAAGGCCACCCAGCTGGCCAAGGACAGGACTGGGATTCAAAAACCCAGGTCTCTGGAGCCCCTGCTCTACTGCTTCAGGTGTGGCGGAGCCCCTCCCAGGGCCCGGTCAGAACCCTGGCAGAGTTGGGGTGCTAACTGCTATGTCTACCCCACAAGGCGGGAAATTCAGGGACAGAGCCTCCTGAGAGATGAGGGGCAGGCGGTGAGGCCCAGGGCACAGTGCCAAGCCAGGGAGCTGGGGAGGTCCTCTGAGTGCCCCGTGGCCCAGCCTCTCAGGCTTGGTGCCTAGGGCCCTGGAATTCTGGAGCCCATTTGTCAGCTCCAGGGTGACTATTGCTGGTGACACCGAGGAGTGGGCACAGAGGCTGAGGTGGCAGGGCCTCAGGCAGGTGGCCGCTA